GGTGTTACAGAATTGAAAACTATCTGACTTCAATTACCATTCGTATCTAATTGTGAATGGAATTAATCTGTGAACCTAACCCAGCGCAGCTAATTGAAGTTTCTCCATTTAACCAATCATTTTAAAATTCTTTTGTCATTTAAAAGTTATTCTTCATTTAATGCGCAGATTCAATTTTTAAGCCTTACCATCAAAACAATTTAAGCAAAGTTATAAAGCGTCGGCTTGGATGGAGAATTCACTCAACCAAAATGATAAATTGTTGAACAATTTAGGGCTTGTAGGCCAGGGATGTGGGGCTCATGCCTGTAATCCCAGCACTTTGGGAGGCTGAGGTGGGTGGATCACCTGAGGTCAGGAGTTCAAGACCAGCCTGGCCAACATATAGTGAAACCCTGTCTCTACTAAAAAAATACAAAAATTAACTGGGCCTGGTGGTACATGCCTGTAGTCCCAGCTACTTGGGAAGCTGAGGCAGGAGAATCGCTTGAATCTGGGAGGAGGAGGTTACAGGGAGCCAAGATCACACCACTGCATTCCAGCCTGGGTGACAGAGCAAGACTCTGTCTCTCAAAAAGAAAGAAAATTAGCTTGTATACTTTTGGTCAGTTGAAGAGTTCTAGTGATCTTCCAGAAATCATTAGGTGAACTAAAATAACATGTGGGTTTGGTCGGGGGGCGGGGGAAATGAGAGGATGAAGAATTAAATAGGTCAGAATCCTGGACCTTGTATCCCTACAAGGCTATTTACCTTTGGAATGACATTTGCAAAGAGATGGTCCAGTAGTCTAATGGAATCTTGGCCTTTGATATTAAACTTGCCAAACGGTGATAGGTCAGTTACCCCTACTCTTTGCATAACCTGTTTATACTCTGAGCCCACAGGCTCAAACCAGTTTGTGCGACGAAAACTTGGCCTGAAACACAACATTTAGTGTCATAAAACAACTGCCGTTCATTTTTCAAAAATTACAGAATAGGATATTTTAATAAGCCCTACTCATCTAGAAAATCCTATGGGCAGCGGGGAGTGGGACTCTGGGAGGCGGGACCATGCAACCTGAAATTCTGTTCTGCAAATCATTCATGTATGTTGGAATCTAATCTTTTAAAGTTACTCATTTATCCCTTTGACCCATTTCACAGTGAGTAAAGTGCTGATTAACTGGAAAATAAGATACAATTCATGGGCTCTCAGATCTGGAAGAGAGTTTAGAAGTCAACCAGTCTGATGGTTTTCAATCCTAGATGCATATTAGAATCATCTGGAGAGCTTTTTAAAATGGGCCTAATTATATCAGTGTCTGGGTTGGGGGGCGGGGTGGAGCTATCTGGTTCAGTGCTTCTCAAACATTAATGGGAATACAAATCACTTGCACTTGTTAAAGTCCACATTCTGAAGCAGCAGGTATGGTGTGGGACCCCACAGTCTGCATTCTCCCAGGCTCCCAGGAGATGCCTATGCTGTTGGTCCACACCTGGGGTACATAAGGATCTGGTCCCAAATCTTCATTTTTCAGAGAAAAGGCACAAAATGATTTCCAAGGCCTTTGCATTAGTTAATGACAGAGCCAGACCTGGAACAAAGGTCTCTTGACTCATTACTAAAGTTCCTTTCTGCTTTACGAAGTGGACTTCTAATGTGGTATTTTAACTTCAGAGCAGGATGCCATGTCTGTAACATGAATTTTCAGTAGTTTAATTATTAAATGGTAGAAGAAACTTAGGCCAGATCCAATCAGCGGTAAGTGAAGAGTAGAAGTGATATATTAGAGTCATTTAGGAAAAACCAAATCAGTATTTGGCCACTAGATAATCTAGATTGGCTGCCTATAGAGCCCAAATTCATTCATCAACAATGGGTTCTCTGCTATACTTTGTACCAATTAGATCTAGTCTTAAAATAGCAAAACCTATTGTAAAAAGCAAAATGACGGCTCAAAAATAAGGATAACATAACTTCCAAATTTGCACCTTGTTTTCCCTTGGTCTGTGGATTCTCTTGAGAAAAAAAATATATAATCGCTGTTAATCCAAAGTACAATGGCAGGTAGCACTTTACCAGAACTCAGAGAACTGTTTTAGTGGCATACTTTATGTTTTCGCTTAACCTGGAATGCTATGCAAGTGATCTTTTCCCCTAATTTATCAACTGTGCATATAATTTGCATGGCTCAGTGCACACACTCTAGAATGCAGTTGCTTTGAGCGATTTCAGGATGAACAGAAAATCCCAAACCACATTTTGTGGTTATACACAATGTGATTCCATGAAGCTTCCTAAAATACAGCAAACCTTTAGGAGCCAACTGAAGCCATGTGGGAATTTGGAGGGGGGTTGGAAGGTTCCTCTGAGCTTCTGGTAAATGCCAAGAGGCTTCGCCAAGGCTGGCTATAGGACGCGCAGGGCCACATAAGTCCTAGATGTGGGCCAGTGTCCCGTGGGCTAGACTAATGCCACCACTGCCAGAGAGTAATTTTTGTAGGACAAGGCTCAGTGCTCCTTGGAACAGGGTGGAGAAATGGAGTGTAAGGGGGAATCAGCACTTTTTGCTGTCCCATTATTTCATCCCTCAGTCAGAACCACAGGCAGGTAAAGTCCTTCTCCCACCTGTATTGAGTGTCCTGGCCCAGTTTGTAGAACCAGTGTGGCTGCTCCCAGCCAGCATGGAACCCCATGGAACACTTAGACTCCAGCCTTTGGTAGAGCCCACTGACTCGTTGAGTGGGTCTCCCAGCAAACCGTTCTTCTTTAGGGTAACCAACTGAAAAAGGAAAACTGGTACTATAAATCGCATATAGCCAAAACAAGATACTTTGATGGGATTCCAAGTATGGAAATACAGTACTTAAAATCCAGATGCATAAACATACATACATACATACATATATACATACATATGAATGATTTATGCAGAAAACAGAGCTGTCATTTATATGACTCATCAAAGAGTAAAGTAAAAATATATTTAAAATTTAAAACCAGCGAGGCATTCCACATGTTAAATATATACATCCATATACATTCCTTGTTATGTTTTAGGGGCACAATGCATTTTGGAGTCCCTAACTACCGCCATCCCAGTGAATAGAATAAAGACCATCTAAAGTCAGAGATGCTACAATTCAATTCTGTCAACACTTTGTAGACAACAGTACATTTGTACCTTACCAATATTGTTGAATCCATATGATTCTCTTGCTTTGGCCTCAGTGTACTGGGTGGTTGTCCATTTGCCATAGCGATTTGGATCCAATTCTATCAGATCAAAAGGAGGTTCTCCATGCAGGATCCAGTCACTGAGATATTTCCCTACCCCACCAGCGTGGATTATGCCGTATCTTTCAAATACAGGGATAGAAAACCCATTACTAACACATGTAGTTTTCAAATGAAACATGCTCAAAATATTTTACAGGGCTTCAAAGTTGGACTGTTCTGCACTAATCAGAACACACAAGTAACATAATCTCTACGGAACAATTTTTTCCTTAAAAGTGACATGTTTAGGCATCCAAATTAAATGTGCCTGACTTGATAGCTAGTTTATTTACAGTTTCAAGAGATGTACACCTGCAAAATAGCTCCTTATTGGGCAGGGCACAGTAGCTCACACCTATAATCCCAGCACTTTGGAAGGATCGTTTGAGACTAGGAGTTTGAGACCAGCCTGGCCAACAAAGTGAGAACTCATCTCTACAAAAAAAATTAAAAAATTATCTGGGCATGGTGGCACAAGACTGTGGTTCCAGGTACACGGGTGGCTGAGGCAGGAGGATAACTTGAGCCTAGGAGGTAGATGCTGCAGTGAGCCATGTTCACACCACTGCACTCCAGCCTGGGTAATGAAGTGAGACCCTCTCTCAAAAAACAAAACAAAACAAAACAAAAAAACCAACAACAACAAACAAAATAGCTCTTTATGGGGAAAAGGCTCGATGATCCTTGACTAGTAACTAATGAGAATTTTGCTTTAGGAAAACTAAGGGTTGAAGCCAGGACGCAAACGGGCACGTGTCTGGTATCCTAACAGCCCTCCTGAGGTATGATTATCCTGACTGGTAGGAAACACGGTGGGAGAAACGTGTGTACTGTGGTGTCCCATCCATCTCTTCTCAGACTCAAGTTAGTTTTGACCTCCTTAGACAATGATCTCTGTGCAAGGAACTTGAGCCATTGTCTTAGAAACATTCAAGCAAAGAGGCCCTCACCTGAGGACTTGTGGAAAGAGGTAGAAAGGAACACTGTCTCTTGTATTTTGCAGCTAATAGGCCACTTGATGGGGAAGATGGGCTTGTTTTCTATTTTCCTAAGATGATACTTTAAAATCAAGAGCATGATGTAGAAAATAAAGGGGTTTTGACATCAGAAAAGGGATCGGTTTTACATTGGCCATGTATAGTTCTACCCACTCACTCTTGTTTAATGAAGGTCTCTACCGTGGGTTCATCTGTGGTTTAAGTCAGGAGCTTTCAAGGAACTGAATGAGCAGAGAGTCAAGGGGAGAGAACCAAGAAAAGGGGATACACAAGGAGACATCAAGACACAGAAATGCTAGTATCCCAAACAACAACAACTTAGCCAGAACCACAGCTTCTAAGAGCATGGGAGGAACTTTAGCAAACACTGAAAATGTTAACTTTTCCCACAACAAGACACCTGTTTTGCTTTCATAAAAATGAGTGTCTACATTTTATAGAAGACTTCCTCAAAGAGAATAAAAAAACAGCAATTTACATTCCTTTGGGCAGTTTAATAGACATGAGGCATCCAAATTATCCACGAACAACCTCTCTAAATTTTAAGAAAGCAAGAAAAATTAATAAATATATGCTTAAAATGTTTATTAAAGTTAGCACATTCACTTAACCAGGCTCAATGCCCATATAGAACAGGTACCATTTTTGAGAGCTATATTGTTGACAAGACTTAAAGGCTTATGAAGTTCTACGAACACTGAGTGCCTCCCATTTACCAGGCAGAGTTTCCATCTAACACGTAGAAGCTGATTTACGCTTTAGCAAGTCTGTTTTAAGGAGAAAGATAAGCCCCCCACACAGAGGCTAAATAAAGTAACACAGCAGTAAAGAGTAGATGCAGGATACAAATTCACTTATCTGACCCTGGAGCACATGCTCCTTGTTATTGGACTTTTCTGCCTTCAGTGGTTCTCAATCTTTGTTGAGCCAGGACACACACTCAGAAACAGCACTGTCTGTATTTTTGACAGACTCCCAGGGCAGAGCCAGGGGTGCTTTGATTTTCTATGGCCTGGCTGCTATACCATCATGTTCTTTCCCTTTCAACCATGCACATGAGCAAACAAATGGGCAGAGTGCTGTTATTTGGGTGGGAGTAGGGTGGAGGGGAATCCTGAATCAAATCTAATTTATTTCTAAAAAGTAAATATTTTACAAACAAGTTATCCAACCATTAACAAGCTTTACGTAAAATTCCATACAATTGAGTACTATGAACTACACATGGCCTATGTAAAACCGATCCCTTTTCTGATGTCAAAACCCCTTTATTTTCCACATCATGTTCTTGATTTTAAAGTATCATCTTAGGAAGATAGAAAACATCTCTGGAGAATCCCTGGCTCAGTAGCTAAAAGTATAAAAGCATGGGGAAAAGATCTGGGTATGATTCTTATTCTGCCACTGTTAGCTGGGTGACCTTGGGCAAGTTATGTAACCGCCCTGCGCTTCATTCTTTCGTGCACACTTTCTTTATGGTGCTGGCAGAGAATTAATTGCCAAGGCATTTAAAAGCACTTAGTACACTGCAAGGCACATAGTGGGCAAGGAATACATGGTGGCTATTGGGCCCTTGTATGACCAGTTGAAAGGATTTTAATAAGGAAGTAAGGTGTGAAGTGAAAGTAGAAGGGAACTTAAAGAGGAGAGGACAGTTAGGTTCTTCTTCTGTCTCTAGCATTAATCTGCAGAATTCCAGATTCTTCTCCATGGCCCTAGGCTGCTATGCTTTTTGAGTGTTTGTATCTGCTTTTTATAACTCTGTTAAATGACTGGATGTTGCATCTTATAGCACTCTCCCCTCTTTAACTTTGCTGTTTATAGTCTGTTCTAACCCAAGAAAATCAGATTCAATTAAATACAATTCATAAGACATTTTTTGGGCACTGTGTTAGTCACCTAGAAGCAGAAAAACTTGTTGAAATTGTGAGTAAACAAATGTCCAAAGTAAAATAGCTCTGGCTGAGGATATTCTGTGAGTAAGGTAAATGGGCACTGGCACATATGTAAGCAGTTTGCAAACACCTACTTCCCTGAACTGGCTGTACCAAGAATTACAGATAATACTACAATAAAATACAGATTCCTGGGCCCCCCCTCCAGACCACTAAATCAGAATCTACAGGAGTAGTATCTGGAAATCTGTTTGTTTGCTTGTTTGTTTTGATTCAAAACATCTTTCATGGCGCTATAGACTGAGTGTTTGTATCCTCCCATAATGCATCTGTTGAAGCCCTAATCCCCAATGTAACGGTATTTAGAGATAGGGCCTTTGGGAAGTACTTAGGGTTAAATGAGGTCATGAGGGTGGGGCCCTCATGATAGGATTAGTGTCCTTCTATGAAGAGACACCAGAGAGCTTCCTCTCTCTCCACACACACACCCACCCACCAAGGAAAAGCCACATGAGCACATAGCCAGAAGGTGGCCATCTGCAAGCCAGGAAGAGAGCCCTCACCAGAACTCTGCCATGATAGCAGAGTCCCTGATCTCAGACCTCCAGCCTCTGGAACATGAGGTCCCAGACCTCCAGCCTCTGGAACTGTGAGAAAGTAAATTTCTGTTGTTTAAATCACCCAGTCTCTGGTACTTTGTTATGGCAGCCCAAGCAGACTAAGCCACATGGGTTCTAGTGACAAATAATAGGAATTTCACAGATGAGAGGTATAGGAGATAAAAAACATTCATGTGACTAACCACACGGTCAAGACTCTGCTTTTTAACATGTTCCTCAGATTATTCTGCTCCTCACCCAGGTATAGGAACCATTGGCCTCCAGAACCATGGAATGAGTGTACTGATATAAGCCAGGAGGGGCAGCTAATGGGGGTATTCCATTATATTACATAAGAAATATCTTAGCTCAACTTTAGGTAAGGGGAAGGCTTTTTTTGTTTAGACCAAACCTGTCAAAGACAGGGAGGCACTTTGCCCACCCCCACTCCCACCTGTTATCTTCTCCACCCACCTCCCAGTATCCATGACCTGAGAAAATTAGCCAGAGCAATCGGGGAGGAGTCTGACATCAGTAACATGCAAACAGATATGATTTCTAGGTTATAAGTAACTTGTTCTAGAGGAAGCAATTTTCTACTTTCCTTAGCAATTACTTAATAGGTGTTCCATATGAGATCAGTGATTCTATCTGCTCAGAACATGCCTTACAGTCAATGATCTTCAATTTCTATTATTTAATACTAAAATTCAATTGGAATATCAAAGAGAATAAAATACTTAGGAATAAATTTAACAAAAGACGTGCAAAACTTTTACTCTGAAAACTACAAAACATTGTTTAAAGAAATTTTAAAAGTCCTAAGTAAATGGAAAGACATTTCATGTTCATGGATCAGAATACTTAACATTGTTCAGATCTCAATAGTCCCCAAATTGATCTACAGATTCAATGCAATCTCTATCAAAATCTCAGCTGGCTTCTTTGCATAAATTGACAAACTGGTCCTAAAATTTATGGGACTTCCAGCCAAAACAATCTTGAAAAAGAACAAAGTTGGAGGATTCACACTTCCTGATTTCAGAAATTACTACAAAGCTAGTAACTTCTAGTAACAGTAATTAAGAGAGGGTCAGCTGGGTGTGGTGGCTGATGCCTGAAATCCCAGCACTTTGCGGGGCCGAGGTGGGTGGATCGCTTGAGGTCAGGAGTTTGAGACCAGCCTGGCCAGCATGGCAAAACCGCATCTCTACTAAAAATACAAAAATTAGCCATGTATGGTAGTACGTGCTTGTAATCCCAGCTATTTGGGAGGCTGAACCAGGAGAATTGCTTGAATCTGGGAGGTAGAGGTTGCAGTGAGACAAGATTGTGCCATTACCTGGGCAGCAGAGCGAGACTCCATCTCAAAAATAAATAAATAAATAAATAAATAAATAAATAAAAGACAGTGTAGTAGTCACATAAGAATAGACACAGATGAAGGAGCAGAATTGAGAATCTAGAAATCAACCCATACATCTATGGTCAATTTATTCTTTATACAGATGCTGTGGTATAATAAAAATTAAATATTTGATCTTTGTCCCCAGTTCCGGACACAGGGTTCATAAAACATTTGAGATTTACTCTTTTTTGAATGTTAATGAGATAGGTCTTGTGGAGAGAGGACAGCAGCCCTAGGTAGCTTCAGGTTGGGGGCTGGTTGCGAGAAAACCATGTGATTAGAGATTTAGAACTTTCAGTCTCACTCCATACTCCAACCTCCAGGGAGTGCAGAAGGGATATTGAGTTCAGTCACCAATAATAGTTTAATCAATCATGCCTACATAATGAAACCGCCATAAAGACCTAGACATGGGGTTCAGAGAGCTTCTGGGTTGGTGAACACAGTGATGGGCTAGGAAGGCGCCTGGAAAGGGCCTGGGGGCACTGCACCACCCACCTCTAACCCCTCACATTTTGCTCTATGTATCCTTCCGTTTGGCTACTCCTGAGCTGTATCCTTTATAATAAAAGAGTAAACATAAGTATTTTCCTGAGTTCTGTGATTGGTTCCAGAAAAGTATCAAATCTGAGGAGAGGGTTGTGGGAACACCCAGTTGGTCAGAAGTATGGGTGTCTCCCACGACTTGAGACTGGTGTCTGAAGTGAGAGCGGTCTTGTGGAACAGATCCTGTAACCTGTGGGGTCTATGTTAATTCCAGGAGTTGGTGTCAGAATTGAATGGAATTGTTGGACACCCACTTAGTACTGGAGAATTGGAGAATTGGTTGTTGGTGTTGGAAAGTACCGCACGTTTGGTATGAGAAAAGGAATCAGAAAAAAGACATTACAGATGCCAGCATAATTCAATGAGGACAGAATAGTCTTTTCAATGAATAGTTCTGGGACAACTGGCTATACATATGAAAAGACTGAAGTTGGACACCTACCTCATGTCATATACAAGAATTAACTCAAAACTGATCACAGACCTAAATGCAAAAGCTAAAACTATAAAACTCTTAGAAGAAAACATAGGTTTAAATCTTCACGAACTTGGATTAGACAATGGTTACTTGTATATGACACCAAAAGTACATGTGAACCAAGAAAAAATACGTATTCTAGACTTCATCAAAATTAAAAACTTCTGTATTTCATTGGACACCATCAAGAAAGTAAAAAAACAACCCACAGAATGGGAGAAAAGTTCTGCAAATCATGTACCTGATAGGGTTCTTGTATCTAGAATATATGAAGAACTTCCACAACGAAACAATAAAAAGACAAATTAACCAATTATGAAAATGGCAAAGGATATGAATAGACATTTCTCCAAAGAAGATATATGAGTAATGTGCAGGAGAAGCACTCCTACTTCCACATGCCTGCATATGGACTCTATAAGTGATTATATAAGCCCTCAATTACATTATAACTCCCCATCCCAAATCTCCATCTGACTTTCTCCCTCTGGATGTCCCATGTACCTAAATTAACACTTCAAGCTCAACCCATCAAAAATGGAACTCATTATTTTCTTGGCTCTCTCTCCATGGCTCTAACATATAGACGGTGGTCAAGTTAGAAAAGTTGCCATCATTTGCCATTTTTCCCTTTCCCTTCAATATCTTATGGAATGATCACCAAATCTAGATAATTTTATCTCCCATCTCTCAGTCTTCACTGCTGCTACCTTAGTGGAGACCCCAGCCTCTCTACTGGATCAGCAGAGCTGTGCCTCAGGCAGCCTTCCAGCTCTGGTCAGACCTCACTGCCTTGTTGTCAGCTGTGTTCCAATGCCTAGCCCTAGGCCTGGCACAGAGCTAGCAGTTATTAAATATTAGTTGAATAAATGGCCAAATAAAATGGGAAAGAAAAATAGAATATTAGAAGCTGTGATATGATAGTTGAGTGGGCTTGACATCAATATTCACCAAATTAATGGAACAAATATCAGAAATGAAACATCAAAGAGGCAATGGAGTCATAAATGGGAAGAAACCTGAGGAATTATAAAGAAACAAATCATGTTGGACAAACATGAATTATGGTGAAAAATGCAGCAGATATATTATACATTTGATATTTTGAATTATCTTTGTCACATTGTGTTATGAAAACATCCTTGTAAAACTGGAGCAAATTGACTATCTGAAGATACACAGCATAAAATGAGATACAATTAATGGAAATGGCAGGAAATATGCAAAGAGAAAGCTCCAGGAGGCCGGGCATGGTGGCTCATGCCTGTAATCCCAGCACTTTGGGAGGCTGAGGCAGGCAGATCGCCTGAGGTCAGGAGTTCGAGACCAGCCTGGGCAACATGGTGAAACCCTGTCTTTACTAAAAAAATGCAAAAAGTTAGCAGGCGTGATGCTGGATGCCTGTAATCCCAGCTACTGAGGAGGCTGAGGCAGGAGAATTGCTTGAACCTGGGAAGCAGAAGTCGCAGTGAGCCAAGATCACACCACTGTACTCCAACCTGGACAATGAGAGAAAAACTCCATCTCAAAAAAAAAAGAGAAAGCTCCAGGAAATAATTGCCCTTCTTTAAAACATATACAAGTGATTGAACCAGTAGTTTTTATTCATTGTATGAATCCTTGGTCATGAAAGGGAAAAAGCTCTCTGGGTCTCTCTCTGTTTCTCTCTCTCAGCCTCCCACATTTCCCTTTTGCATCCTTAGAATATGGAACTAGATTTAGCTAAAATAAGTGATTCTACAATAAATGTTGAATTACATGAAGATACTTACCCAAAGCCTATAGCCACCCAGTAGTTTCTGACTCCCTGATGGGGCCCCACCATAGGCAGAATGTCAGGAGAATACGTGATAGGACCATTGACGACATTGATGATGTCAGCCTTTTTCAAGACAGGAACCATTTCCATGGCAGCTTCAATGTGTTCCATGATTCGATCTAGATCAGACTCAAAGAGTTCCTTTCCAAAACCTAAAAAGATTTGCCCTTTGTGGTCAGGATGCCATAGCTGAGCTGACAAGTCCTGTAAAGTGATTTAAGCCTCTGACATGGCCTACCTTTAAAAATGGCCTGTTGGGAAAGTACTGCCATATTTTGTTAAAGTCTAAACTTGATATTCACTATCAACAGATGAGTATCCATTTATATTACTGAAAACAATGTTATTGTTCTTGAAACAAAATCATAAAAGTTAACCTTTAATTAATAGAAAATTTAAATGTATGAATAATATAGTTTCTGATATTTAATCCAATCACAGGTTTTTTTTTTTTAAACATAATTTGGCTTGTCAAGAGAGATCATTATGCTTCAATTAACCAAAAGAACTTGTTTTATCCCCCGAGATGAGGGCAAATGGGAGTTTACAGAGTCATGGTAGAATACTGGAAAAAGTGGAACACTGCTCCAGGATCTAAGATGATGGATTTTAGACCTCTTTTAACTCTCCTTTCAGCAGGGAAGGAATGGCCTGGAGGCCTCCTTCCTCCAGCCTGCCCCCACACACATCCAAGGGCTAGAGTTCTGAAAAGAGGCAGGGTCTTGAAGCGCAATCCTCCTCTTGTCCTAAAAGTCACTGTGATTACAGGCAGGGCCACAGATGAGCTTCTAAAAGAATGTCTCCACCAACACTGGTGATTTTTCCACATAGCAGCCAGCCAGCTTCTTGCCCTTCCTGGGGACTGCAGGTAGGGTCAGCCTCATGGAGGCCTGCACACCATCAGGGTCAACTAGCACACATGGGTACCCATGCTCACCAACAGCTAACAATGCAGCTCTCCCTCCAAACGGCATTATTTAATTATTTGTTCAAGATTTATTTGAAGGAGAAGCTGCCAGCATGAGGGAACAGCAGAGAGGGAGGCTTTTAGTGGTATTTCAACCCTCCCTGTGGGATCGGGAGCAATTCCGCTCAGGCCCAAATGTGCAGAGCCCACTCAGCACAACCAAAGCCCTGAAACCAGCTGGCCTAACTTCTGTGAAAGGCAGTTTAGTGATCATTTGCTATTATTTGGGCCTATGCTTTGAGGAGTAGAATGGAGGGATTCATTTCCTATCTCAAGAAGCTTATCAAAGTATAATTTTAGGAAGTACCATTTCCTACATTTCTTTATATTCCCTGTAATATTTCAGTCCCCAGTGATTTTTTAGCTCTTTTTACAGATTAAAACCTGAGATACCTCCTTAGATGACCCAATCTTCAATCTGGCTCTGTGGAAGTATTTCATGAAAAGCAAAAACAGACCCATCTCCCTTAAAGAACTTGAAAGAGAAACTGTAGTATCCCCTGCTTTGGCATAGAGGCACAAACCTTTTCCATATCCATTTACGTAGCATGGGAAGTACTCTGTTTACAGTACCAAAAACCCTGCTCTGTTATAGACTCTCGGGTTTTCATTCTTAGTAGGATGGATATCTGGCCTCCGATATCAGTTGTGTTTCCAGCTGTAAAAGCACAATAGCAACTATATTCAAATCTTGAAAGTAGACCAAGCTGGCAGTGGATTAAGGGAAAAAATGGGGAGGCAGGAGGTTGTGTGGGCAGGTAAAAATGTATCTGGAACCTTTCAAAGCAACTAGAAATGTTTCTTCAGCTTCTCTAATATCAGCTACATCTTTCTTTCCCCCGACTCCCTGCTGTGATTTTTCAAAGGGATATGAGAACAGAGCCCACCTCAAACCCATCACCTCCAATGTCCCAGGTATCTGAATTAGTCTAGAATTATGCTGTTGTCTTATTCTACAGCCATCCCCCAGTCATGGAGAGGATGAACCATTTGTGTCTGACCAGCACACACTTTCATTTGCTAAACCCACCTGCAGGAACTCCATTGGTGACCCAGGAGTCCTGAACTTTCATTTTCTCCTGACTTTCATATGGACCAAACAAAAGCCCATCCCTTTCCTGTCGGAGATAGTATGATCCTTCCAGGTCACGGAGCACAGGGAGTTCTCGTTTCAAAGCTTTCACTTCAGGTATAGTCGATGTAACAACATATTGATGTTGAACCGGAATGAGAGGATGTTCTAGTCCAATCATTTTACCTACTTCACGAGCCCAAAATCCTTAAACAAAAAAATCATTTAAAAGTGTCAGCACATATATAAATACACAACTGACACTCACATAACAATTTATATTAGAATAAAATGTTTAAAAGGCTTAAGTACTCATGGCAAAGTCTAATAAATGTCATAACCATCTTTAAACTTTTTGTCATTGCAAAACTGAATGGGGAAAGAGAAGACAATACTTTGCATTGCCCAGAGATTCGAAGATATCTGTGATCTAGGGGAACTCCATTCCTGAAAATGTTGTTACCCACAAGCAAAGGTAGGCAGGAAAAAAATTTTAAAAAATTTATTTGAAAGAAAAAACAAACAACCCAAATATACAACATGTACAAATGTCAATAAGAAGCACTGTTACAGACTGCCCCTATTTGTGGACAGGGACAGTCAGGAAAAGGAAGAGGCCCTCGTGTTGCTGTGACCAACCTAATACATAATGATATACTTAAGAAAGCCCTACAAGCCAACTCTTCTATCCTCTAAGCCCTATTCTCCCCAAATTGTTGATGCCTAAAATTCCAAAAATACAAGATTGTTCTGTTAAGTTAAAATTTGAAAATGGTGCATACTTTGGGAGAGAAAGCACATTAAGTTTTATCTGTTGTTTTAAAAGTTTAGTTTCAATAAGTTTGTAAGATCCTTTATTGTAAAGGCACAAAAGCACCAGAAGTCAAAACTAGGTAGAAAGAGAAGCCACAAGAAAGGGGAGATTGGTCTCATAAGTAGGCGGGGAGTTCCCTAGACAAATGTTTCCCACTTCACTGTTAGCACAAAGATTGTCTTATTTGTGGAGGTGAATGTTACTTTTTTTATTCGTAAAAGATAGAACTGGATAATCTGTGGCTGAAAGGACCCTGGATTATTTCCCATGCTGACCCTTCAGTACACAGATGTGGGAGCTAAAGGCTAGTAGGGTAAGACATGCCCAAGGCCACACTGGACATCCTGTAATCATCACATCTTATTGGTTTTTCTTGCTGCAGACTTTATTTTTAAAATCCAAGGCACCTTCACTGTATAAAGGGATTTTATAATCTAAAATAATAAAAATGCTTATTATTTGGCAAGGATATGGTGTTGACTGACCATATTAGATGATCTGGGGGCAGGGAGTTCTATTTGCTTGTTTGTTTCATAATAATTTTGAGTGATCATTGAAATGATTACACGATCCTATTTATTTCTTTAGGGGTTGCACAATAAGTTTTTAACCATTACTGTCTCTGCTGTTTTTCTGAATCTAATAAGGAGTCCTGAAGTCTCTATCATTATGAGGTTCCAAGCTAGACAGAGAATCATCAATTATGAATCAGTCTGGGAACCTAGATTATGTACGTATGTGTGTAAGTTTATTTCCTTGTAACCATCTAAACCATTCCTTTGCATTCTATTGTTTTGTTTGTTGCAATGGCTAAGTTGGTCACAGTTGTATAATAAATCCAGAAATGGGTACCCATTTGCAAGCCAGAAATCTAACTGTGGGCATTGGAGCTATTTGCCAGTGTTGTTTTGTTTTGTTTTTTGAGACAGAGTCCCGCTCTGTTGTATAGGCTGGAGTGAAGTGGCACGATCTTGGCTTACTACAACCTCTGCCTCCTGAGTTCAAGCCATTCTCCTGCCTCAGCCTCCTGAGTAACTGGGATTACAGGCCTCCGCCACCATGCCTGACTAATTTTTGTATTTTTAGTAGAGATGGGATTTCACCATTTTGACCAGGCTGATCTCGAACTCCTGACCTCAGGTAATCCACTGCCTCCGGCTCCCAAAGTGCTGGGATCATAGGTGTGAGCCACCACACCTGGCCTGTTTTGTTTTGTTTTTGAGACATGGTCTCACTCTGTCGCCCAGGCTGCAATGGAGGGCAGTGGTGCAACCATAACTCACTGCAGCCTCGACCTCCCAGGCTCAGGTGATCCTCTCATCTCAGCCTCCTGAGTAGATGGGACTATAGGCACATATCACCACGCCTGGCTAATTTTGTATCTTTTATGGAGACAGGGTTTTGCCATGTTGCCCAGGCTGGTCTTGAACTCCTGGGCTCAAGCAATCTGCCCAACTCAGTCTCCCCAAGTACAGGCGTGTTGGTCTTTTAGTAATTTTGAGACTTAATTTACTCTTGCTAGTAGGAAGATGTGAATTACCAATGTCTAGACTGTGTACGAAAATATAGCAAAGCCACATATTCTAGTTATATACACTAGAACAATTTTTGAATATACAAAAATCAAAATATTTAGCCTAGCAATTCAAACTGCTACAATATCCTCACTATATTTGTTTCAATTAAAAACATAAATTGAAAAAAATAAATTCTGTCCTATTCAAACATATTTATGAATTTCTGAGTCCAATTGCTTGCTTATTAATGCACTTCATCATTAATATAAACTGGAAATGTGTGCAGAAGTATCATATCACTATATTACTTCAAATCCCATAGCAAGCTGTTTTACCCATAGACATCTATGGGGCTGGTGTCTTTAGCATTCTTTTTCCATATGTCAATCAAATTAACCTAAATCTAGCTAGAGTTACACTTCAACTCCTGCCTGATCACCCACCCACTAAGTCCAAGGGAAGAGAGACAGGTGTGGAAGATTCATTCTAAAATCTACCATTATCACCTGAAAAACAACTGAAGAGAAGAGTCAATTAAAAATGACTACTGGAAATGGCTTCCAGTTTTTAAAAATGCAATGATTAATAAAAATGAGGTTAAAATGCAGGCTGAAGGTTCACGGACAAGTTTACATCTACTAGATGGTTTATATGATGACAATGACGGCCTCATGCTTTGATGCAGAGTATCACACACAATTAAGCAAGTCTTTTTGGCTGAACACTGAGCTTCATGTGAGCACAACCCAATCACATTTCTGATTTGCCGTGTTAGGAAAACTCTTAAGTAAATTTTACAAAGTTATCTCAGATTTAATGAGTCAACTGGAAATGAGGTCAAGAGAAACATTCAACACCATGTGGAGAAAAAGCCTGCATCATAATAACTAGTACCCGCCCGCGTCCCTGAGCTGCACCTGAGGGAAAGGGCAGAGTGAAGCCAATTTGGAAAGCTTCAGTAACTAAAGGCAAGTTAGACTACTGCCCATCAAGAGGTCGGAAGCATCAGAAACTTCCCCAGTTCTGCTAGCACAGAATACAGTCATTATATTCTCTCTCCTGTAGAAACACCTACACAATAGTGTTTCTTTAAAGATTTTCTTGCAGATCATCTGGTACAGACAGTATAGTACCTGGAGTAGTTATTTAGAATGCAGCTTCTGAGAACCTACCCAGACCACCTGAATTAGAATCTTTTTGAAGCTTGGGAACCTTCCCGAGGTGATTCTTACGCACACTAGCTTGATAACCAAGCTCTTTGGGAAGTCAACTTACCAGCAGAATCAGTGCTGGATTCTGCACCCACTCTGCTAGTAAATTGGAAAAGGAAGCAGTTGAGCAGTCTTAAATCTGGTACCAAGAAGCTATCATAACCTGATGCTAGTGTCTCCCAGACTAGGGCATGGAATATGAAGGAAATAATTGCAATGATCATAATAATTACCTAATTTTTTTTACTGCTTTCTACCTGGTGAACCCTGTGCTGGGTACTTTACATTATTAGCTTATTTACTACCCATAATAACTTTTCAAGATGGGAGATATTATCCCCATTTTACACATAAGTAACTTACCCAAGTCACTCAGTTGGCAATGTGTATGTCTCTGGGCCACAGAGCACCACTGCCATGGACAATGCCAGAAACTCATCAGCTGACAAATTTTTACTCTTAAACTTTTCTTTTTATGGATACCCTGCAGACCCAGCAGCCTTTACATCTTTTTCACTTTGGTTGTATTTCTAAGTCCATATCCTGGTTCCTTTAATCAGATTTCAGTGCTGGTCTGAGGGCCTTGCCCGAATTTGGGAGATACTCTGGTCACACTGAGAAACTGTGGGAAACATTCCACCAGCCACACACTCTCCACTCATTTTATTATAGCATGATGCCTACTGCAGATGGTTGCTTTTATTCATAAAATTGATCTTTCTTCGCTTCAGTTCTAGAAGGGAGCATATGCAAACTTTTGTTCCCAATTACTGAGGCTTACCCTTTGGGGGATCTTCTATGCTTTAAATAAAGATTTTTTGAAAACAGACTTACAGATAATTAAACACACACACACACAAACATACACACCCCTCCACACCTCCTGTGGACTGCTAATATGTAATCAGTTAGATTTTCTTGGTAACTTTTACCCAGTGGAAGAAAAGAGATGGAAGAGAAAAAGAAAAAAAAAAAAAGATTAGGGAGCAGAGGTCTGAGCTGAATGAGATAAAGAATTGAGATAAGTTACTTCCCACAAGTTTCAGCAAGGAGCTGCCTGGAGTTACTAGGAAAAGGGAGCGGAAGTGGCTAGGCAAAAAGCACAAGAACAAAGGAAAAAGGGAGACATTACCACTCCATGCAGGGCCACTCTGTCCTAATTCCAGGGACTTGTTTTCCAGGCCAGCATGAGACAGCTGTTCTCAAGGACCTCCTTTCCCTGCCCTCCTGTACCCCATCACCCCACAAGATTTCACAGCTGCAGAGAAAGCTTCATCTGGTAACTAGTGTTATGGGTTTAGGTCAGATCTCTTTGGAGATCATTTGGTCTTCCTCTTTAGTGATTCCTTATTTGTTACAGTATGTGGTTTAGAAAAAAAAATGTATTACAATGACAACTCATTATGTTTGTATGTTGATCCATTTTAGGAAAACAATGGATGTGTTAAATTAAGGTCTTCTATGTTATTTCTCAAAATGTCAATCAGGAATGTATGAATGCCTAAAGTACTGTGTTGAGAAAAACGGTGGGGCTTTGTCCAAACACATCTGAAATGAGTGTAGTGATGATTAGCAATGTCTGCCACAGGTGCTGGATGTGGAAGTCTCAGTATGTTACTTTAGTATTTGCTATCATGATGAAAACAGTCAAATGTTTTTAGGGCCTGAATTCATGAGACTATAGAAAAAGTTGCAAAATTACAAAGAATCCTTGCTACTTAGAAAAAAGTCTGAATTATTTCATTGCCTTAAGTTTTCTGACAGAATTTAGACCAGAGATTCCTAAGGACATTAAGAGAGTATAGTGTCAGACTGGAGGGAAAGTGAGGCTCAAAAACAATGCAATGTTGTATTGTACCACTGCTCTTACTTTTTAGGCAAGTTATTTAATATTATTGCAAATTTCAAATTATATTAAAGAAAGCATGATATTTTATTGCTTTTCAAATAGGAGGCATGGGTAAGAGAATTCGGAAATAACGAATTTAGACTTAAATATTGAAGACATGACTTTGTCTCTAGGACCACCAAAAATGCTTTGTTAAAAGTAATATCAATTGGCTGGACACTGTGGCTCACTCCTGTAATCCCAGCACTTTTGGAGGCCGAGGCAGGTGAATCACCTGAGGACAGGAGTTTGAGACCAGCCTGGGCAACATGGTGAAACCCCGTCTCTACTAAAAATACAAAAATTAGCCGGGCATGGTGGCAGGTGCCTGTAATCCCTGCCACTCAGGAGGCTGAGACAGGAGAATCGCTTGAAACTGGGAGGTGGAGGTTGCAGTGAGCCAAGATTGCACCATTGCACTCCAGCCTGGGGCACAAGAGCAAAACTTCGTCTCAAAAAATATATATATAAAATACATATATGTATATCAAAAGTTACAATACAGAGAAAAGAATCATAAGGGTATGGGTTTCTGGCTTGTCCTCATGGGATATCATTTGATCAGATAAATAATAAAGATTATTTTCATTCTCAAAGAAAATCAGTCACTGCCTCATGCTTATTTTAAGTTTTAAAGTAAACATTATAAACCATAGGAAAATACAAACTATTATCCCAGTTTAGACTGCACAAGCATTTTCACTGTAATTTATTTTGCATGTGTGACAGTTGAAAATGACTTGACATGCAATCCACCTATTCAAAAGTGTATTAACTCAAGAATCAAAAGGCCAGATCCCAGTCCTGGCTCTGACATAACGATCAGTGGCCACTTGGCCAAGTAACATGACCCTTTTGGACCTTGCCTCTGCAAATGAAAATAAGTGTGTTGTTGGATTATCCCAAATATCCCTTTTGGCTTCACTACTCTGAGTCTAAACTGTAACAGAACAACCAAAAGAGAAGATTATGAAATACGTTTAATAATGTTCTAGAAGGAAAAGCGTTTAAAAATTTTTTCAACTAGAGTCAAAAGTCATCAGAAATGGATAAGAGAGAACCCAAATGAGCAAATCTGCCCTAAAAAGCAAACTGGACACAGAAAGGATGCTTATGAACTTCAACACTAGAATTTGGTTATTCATATACAGAGACAGTGAACACAGGAAGGAAAAAGCAGCATAATTTGGAAAAACAATCTGGAGCAAAATAAAATGCAGAATGGAGGAAATAAGCAACTTTTTATGGATAACCAAGGACAGAGTGTTAGCGCATCCACCAAGAGCAAAGTGATGGAGGGAGGGCTTTGTCACTTAGAAACAGACAAAATGTTTAATTTGGGAGCATCACAGTGCTTCATGACAACATCCATAGTATGAAACATTATGGCTAAATATCTTCTTTCTTTGGCACTTGAAAAAACAGAAATTTCAAAAAAAAGATATGCTTACCTGCAGCATTCACAATTCTATTTGCTCTCATAGACCCCTGTGGTGTTTCAACGTCCCATGTTCCATCTGACCTGGCTTTCAGAGAAGTTACTGGTGCAGGATATTTTAAAAGGGCACCATATTTCCTAGCCCCAGCAGCCAGGGCCATAGTTAGAGAATAAGGATCAATGTGACCATCTCCAGGATTATACAATCCAGCTAAAACCTAAATCAATCATAGCAGAGTCAATATACAAACAAATATATATTTATTACTTAGTAAAAAATATATCCTGCTAGCAAACGTTTAGTAAAACTGGACATTAAAATTGTTTCTTGATCTGGAAAGTAACTGGGTCCCTGAAGACTTCATGAAAAAGCCACCATTCAAGTCCTGGACTGCTGAAAAGAAAGAAATAAACCTCTTTCTTGTTTACACCTTATTTTGGTTTCTGACATTTGAAGCCAAATCTAATTCCAATTGATATATCAATTGTAATTTATATTTAATTGTTTAATACTGTTGATAAATTACATGTTAAATAATATATCTGGTGTCAGGAAATTTATGTTCAATTCAATAATTCAGCAATTAATTACTGAATATCTACTTTGTTTTAGGCCTTTAGGCAAGGTACTGTGGGGAGAACAAAGAAGAATGAAACTCAGATGGGATAGGTTCATAGAATGATCAGTGAAATATTAAATATAGGTCTCATCTATTCAACAAAAATTGGCTGAGCACCAAATACAAGCAAGGAGCTTTTGTCAAATGTCTTTTCTGTATCTATTGACATAATTGTGTAGTTTGTCCTTTATTCTATTAATGTGGTATTGTTCCATTGATTAATTTTTAGATGTTAAACCAACCCTGCATTCCTGGAATACATTCCATTTAGTCATACTGTACAATCTGTTTTATATGTTGCTGAATTCAGTTTGCTAGTATTTTGTTGAGGATTTTTGTATCTATGTTCAAAATGGATACCAGTCTTTCTTTTTGGGGGGATGCATTTGTCTGATTTTGTTATCAGGATAATACTGGCCTCATAGAATGAGTTGAGCGGCATTCACTTTTCTTCTATTTTGGAAGAGTTTGAGAGAGATTGGTATTAAGTCTTCTCTAAATATCTGGTAAAATTAACTAGTGAAGTCATCCAGGCCTGGGGTTTTCTTTGTGGGAAGTTTTTGATTATGAATTCAATCCTTTCATTTATTATGGGTCTTGTGCAAGAGACTTTCTATTTTAAGGGAATTCACATTTCTAAGGACTTCCAAATGTCACACAGGTGTTTTATAATGGATATGACCTCATTGTAGTGATCCCACATCCATTTGGTTTGGTACCCTCTCCCAGATGCAGAGAATATCCTTCACACATATTCCCATTGCTTAATGAATGCCCTTGAGAAAAATTCATGATAGTGAGGAGTTCCAGCAAAGCATTCAAGATTGACATATAAACAAATATAAGTATATCCTTACTGGTAGTGGAGGTAAAATTTCAATGCAGACAATGCAGTGCGACACCAATCTGCCATCACACTGGTATCACACACAACCACAGACAAGGGAGTGCCAGCAGCCTGTGAAGACTCGCAAAGGCAAACAACCCTAGTGCCCAGGTCAGTGATATGAACCTTCAGAGATTGGAACCACTGCAGTGGTCACCAGCAGGGAAATAAGCATGTGTTTCCCCAACAGCCCCATCTGATACACTTGGGCAGTATGTATAATGCAAGGGAGTCAGAGAGCCTGGGTTCAAATCTCCACTCCAGCTCTTTCCAGTGAATGAGCTTGGGTTCACTATGTAAACTGTCTAAGCTAAAATTTCTTGTTTAACAATAATATATACCACATAACACAGATATAGATATAATTTTTTTATTTTTATTTTTTAAATTTTAGAGACAGGCTTTCACTTCATTCCCTAGGCTGGAGTACAGTAACGTAATCATAGCTCACTATAACCTCAAACTCCTAGGCTCAAGAGATCCTCTTGCCTCAGCCTCCCAAGTAGTTAGGACTACAGATGGAGTCCTACTACCCCACAGTCAGCTAATTTTGTGTGTGTGTGTAAGTTTGTAGAGACGAGGTCTCAGTATGTTGCCTAGGCTGATCTTGAACTCCTGGCCTCAAGCAATCCCCCCACCTTGGCCTTCCCACATGCTGGGATAGAAGGAGTGAGCCATGGCATCTGTCCTGCCTCATACTATTATTGTGATGATTACATGAAATTATGCATGTAAGGACTTAGCATACTAACTGGTACATAAATATGTGCTATAGTAAGTGTCAGTCATTGTTATTATTATTCAAAAGGAATTATTACCCAGTAGGAAAAAACACTAAATTTCATGTCAAGTAGCTTATCTCAGGCAAATGTGGTATAAATCTAGATCTGTACCTGACACAGAGTCTGTAAGGAGAGTACAGCTATAAGCTAGGTGATATTTGTAAAGCAATGTACCATGGCATTTCTTAATTTGATTTTTAAAACATTTTAATACCACAGTCTTTCTAGACATTTATCATATCAGGTTATCATTCTCCCTGTGTTCTCAAACAGAAGATTTGTGTATGGAAACCCTTAGATCTGGGGAACACAATAATGGAAAGGTATTGAAAATGTTTAATCAATTGTCATAGGTGAAAAACAAGATTTACCATTACCTTTTTATATATCATTTACTGTATATAACAGCCCACCTTGTAAATTACCCAAATTCCAAAATTAATCACATGATTTTGCCACATTTAAAATGTGTATACAAAGTTTTCTGGTTTTAGTTAACTTCTTAATAACTTTTTCTAATTTTTACTTAAGTCAACAAATGGTAAAAATGCCTTTAAGATAAATACCTTATTCATGTTGAGTAAAGGGAACATCTCTTGAATTTTTTCAGGTTCAATGATATACTGTTCTGTTGCATGCCAGCCAGTCCGAGTCATTTGATATTTAAATTCATCTACCCTTACAGGGGTGGTAGCAAGTCTGATACTACCTGGCTGATGGAATCCCACCACCTGTGACAATAATTCCAATAAAAACATACAAATGAGTCATTATTTGGTACTCAAACATGGTTCTGCTCCAGTATAATAAAAATGCAGCTGTACAAAAAGATTTATTATGAACAAAAGAAATAACTATTAAAATATTTGCATCTTATTAAAAGACACTTATTCAGCAATTACCATATTTACTAAGTGCCTCTTTGGTGCCAGGCACCATTCTAAGCCCCACAGATGTCAGAGTGAACAAGAAAGGTAAAGACTCTGCCTAAGTGGCATTTACACCCCACAGTTGAAGACAGACAGCTAAATGCAAAATCATAGTAGCATGGAACGAGTATTAATGTACAGAGTGAAAAAAAACTGTATGAAAAAGAGAAAGACAAAAAAATTAAGGAGAGATTACGTAGAATCAAAATGTTACAATGCTTAGATTGTCTGAATTGAATTAAACATTCATTTAACATTTATTAAAGTCCTTCAGTTTGCCAAGCACTCAGTTACAGAGATAAAAGATACAGCCCTTGCCCTCAAGTTACTTTTGGGAGGATCAACAAGTAAATCAATAATTACAATAGAGAGAGATTCAAGTTATAAGAGAAGTGTGCACAAATGCTCTGAGAACCAAGAGATGGGACCTCCAGCTTTGACCTGCCTAACAGGCAGGAAAAGTCAAGCAAGGCTTCTCAAAGGGGGTTACCCTGGGGAAGGTGGATGCTGAAGATGGGGCCAGGGGGAATGTTGTTTCAGAGGAAGCAGCAGAAAACAGAACAAAACACAACACAAACAAAAAGCAGTGATTTGAGAGAGCTCAGCGCATTCCAAAACTATATGTTATTGAGAGTAGCTGAAGCAGATAAGCAGAGGGAAGAGTGGCAAAAGAAACTGTTGGGACAGCAGGCAGAGGTCAGTTGACAAAGGTCATGTTCCTAAGGCCATGCTAATCCTTTGGCTTTGTCCGGTAGACTGTGGGGAGCCATTGGATGGTTTAGGCAAGAGAAGTGACATGGAAAATTTGAGCAGAACTCAGTCTTAGCCTATGGATATTATTTTGCCTGCCATTTTATTTTGAGTATGAGCAAATATGAGAAGGGATAAACATGAGTGAGGAGCTTTTAATGAAGTACTGTTCAAAGGCATGCAACAATCTGGTACATTCCATTGTCAGATCCTTTACAATGCAATTGCTGAAAGACTCTGATTTCTTAGTTTCTAGATATAGTAACTAGCTAAAGATACATTTGAAAGCTGCTTTTTATTCTTTCTTCATTTAAAAAATAAAGAATGGTTCATGACATGAATAATATACTTTGAGAAATTAAGTTGATTTTAAAGCAAACTCTAGAGGTTCTTGCCTTAAGCTCTCATCATATTCCTCTACTACATCAGGCACTTCACACAGTCATACACAATGATGCATCAAAATCCTTCAGAAATCTTACATGTTTCTGAGAGGCCGACATAACAGACAGTTTCAAGTTAAATGCCTTTACCTGCCCAGTTTCTTCTTCCAGTTTCTCATAAAGTTTGATGCTATCATAATGTATTTTCTTCAGGTTTATTCCAGGATGAAAGTAAGTTGTTAAACCTGCCTTAAAAGCAGAGAGGAAAAGAAATACTGAAAAAATTAACATTCTCAAAATGTTGACAGTTTATGTGTTAAGCAATAATTTAATGCTGGAAAGAAACTGAGAAGCACCAGCCAGTCCTTTGGAATCAGAACACATCAGCACCAGTTTGAGCACACCAGAGCATAAGACTCATGACAGGTTTTAAGAAGCAATGTGAACTACGTGAGTAAGGTGAGAGCCAGCCAACAAACATACATGTTAAGTCCCTAAACGTTAACATGGATAGCACTGTACAGAGATTCAGAAATGGGATGATTTAGATGGAAGGTTTAGGGCTATATGCTATATAGTCCTATATATGACTATATAGAAAAGTATGTTGGGAGGCCAAGATGGGCAGATCACAAGGTCAGGAGTTCGAGACCAGACTGGCCAACATGATGAAACCCCATCTCTATTAAAAATACAAAAATTAGTTGTGCATGGTGACGGGCGCCTATAATCCCAGCTACTCAGGAGGCTGAGGCAGCAGAATTGCTTGAAACTAAAAGGCGGAGGTTGCAGTGAGCCAAGATCATTCCACTGCACTCCAGCCTGGGCAAAAGAGCGAAACTCCATCTCAATCAATCAATCAATCAATCAATAAAAGTATTGGGGAGGCCAGGTGCGGTGGCTCACGCCTATAATCCCAGCACTTTGGGAGGCTGAGGTGGGTGGATTACCTGAGGTCAGGAGTTCAAGACCAGCCTGGCCAACATGGAGAAACCCCATCTCTACTAAAAATACAAACAATTAGCCAGGCATGGTGGTGCGTGCCTGCAATCCCAGCTACTTGGGAGGCTGAGGCAGGAGAATTGCTTGAACCTGGGAGGCAGAGGTCGCAGTGAGCCAAGATCACGCCATTACACTCCAGCCTGGGTGACAGAGTGAGACTCTGTCTCAAAAAACAACAACAACAAAAGTAATGTGGGAATGGCATACAATGTGGACTCAAGCCGGAAAACCATGTGTGTGTTCCCTTAAGCAGAAGGACCATGGACTAGCATACGATCTTCTTTGACCCAGCCTCCACCCTTCCCTTAAATGGAGCAGCCCTCCTGGCCCTTTCCTGAAATTGTAAAATTTAAGAACTAGAAAATTCCTTATCACTAGAGCCTGATGAATAGGTGAATAGACTTTTGTCAAAGCTTAACCTGTTTGATGAGCACATAGGTGGTACACTGAAAATCTTTGTTGAATAAATATTGATTGATTATTCTCAGAAAAAAAAGTATCTAAACATTAGCTACACTAAAACCCCCTTTTCTCAAATCTGGCACATGTAATGTGGAATCCAGACAAAGAATTCTAAGCAATTATATGAAGCAGTTTCTCTCGAGTGTCTGGAGCCTCACTGGGCAGCTAATTTATTCTGGAAAGCTCATCAGAACACAATCTGTTCACAGTAAAATCTACTTATGAGTATTGATAAGGTACTTCTATGGTAGTGGTGAGCAACTGATCCTCCTGCACTCAAATACTCCATTAAAGTTTGTCAATCATCCTTTATAACCAAAATCCTGGGGCTTCCATCCAGTACTTGTCCAAGCATCTGGACATACCCATGGCTGATATATATATATATATTTTAGAAAAATCCTGGCCCAGCTTACAGGTCATCTAGTAGCACGGCTCCATGTGGAAGCAGAGAAGGGATTCCATTACAATGCATCTGTAAGCCAAGCTCTTAAACTTCATGGCCAAACATGCCCTGCTGCTTTAACATGTTGGTATCCAGTGTGCATGCAAACTTTCCTGGTTCAATAATAGAGAATCCCAGGCCTTCAGGTATCTGCTGGTGACCCCCAATTTGTCTTCAACATATGTCCTATAAATATGCCCTATAGAAAACTGGCAATATATATTGTCAGTTGAGAAATCTGGTCATCACAAGCACTAGCCTAGGGTACCGATCACCATCCACTCCTCAAGATCCTCTAAGCTTCATACCTAGGTTAAGCTAGACCACTGGAAAATTATCTATCTACACGACACAATCCTCTTCTCCCTCACTCCAGAAATTTTAAGTTAATTCTCTTTCACTTGAAAAGGTCACATTGGTTCATTTTTCAAAAACTCTTACTGAAGACATTTAGCCCAATGTACTTGGTGTAGGTAACAAATTCTTTTAGAAATTCGTTGTCAAGGAAAAGTTAGTCTCCCTTACTGCAACAGTATACCCAGTTCTACTAAACAATTCACACTACCCTCTTTTCCTTGCTGCTGCGATAGTCAGAAATAAGATATGGACTCAATTTTCTCACTCAGACATAAAAATTATTTAATTTTTATACCCTTTCTTTTATATATTGGCTTTTAAAATCTGTTTAAAATTTGGGGCTACCCATATTAGTGCTTCTATTTAAATTATTTGAAAGTAACATCACACATGATATCTTTTAATTTAAGTGCCAGACTTGAATATGAAGATGGCACAATGTTTTTCTCTTCTGTGACTTCAACAAGGACATATTAAATGAGAAGTCTGAAAGAAGGAGAAAACATTATTCTTATCACTCAGGATTTTATAGTCTGATTGAGGTTATGAAAGTTTCATACATGAAACAATTAAATCACGGGTAAATGATTGAGTCCCAGATACATCGTGGCTGTGAAACTCGGGAAAGAGAAGATGCTAGAAAGGTCACGGACGTCATAGGAAAGGAGTTTAGCTATCGTCTGGAAAAAGTGATTGCAGTTGGTGGGGAAGATAAGGAAGGGAAGATGAAACAGAGATGTAATCATTAAGAATACAACCCTTTAAATAAATTAAGAATTTATAAATCTTCGTTGAGATAAATAAATAAATAAGTAGAAGGGAATGTAAAGCTCTTCCTTAGACTGACAATTAATTAGTATAAAAGGAATGATGGAGTTAGAAAATTCACCACTGGATGCTAAATAATGGATAGCATAATGGATGCTAACTAGTGCTTCCCCTATCTCTTTAACAACCCTCCTCCTCTCTCAGGAGCCTCAACTACCTCAAAAAGTCCAGTGACCGATGTCAAACCAACCTATATTCCAGTGGCTCCAAATCTTTCACTCATACATTTACACCCAGTACAAAATTTTGAACATAACCACTAAAATACGTGTGTTTCTTTCCTTACATGTGATACTAAATATCAATAGAGATCATAAACACAAAAAACAACTTAGAATAAGTGAAGTACTCAAAACACTTTTTTATTTTATATATTGTGTAGAAAAGCTTTTGCATATGAAGCTTATTAAGAACACTATAGCGAGAGCTATGTGATTAACACATGTCATTATCAGAATATCTGTGCTATATTAACATTTGTAAGACAGCAATGTGAAGGCCTGGTTCTGGCTTTATATTATTTTGAGACTGCTTTTAACGGCTGTATAGCTGCAGAAGACACCGCTCAGTGATGCACAGACCCAAGTGAGAGAAGGGCACGACTGGCTGGGTCTCTGCATCCTGACACCCCTTCCTCCGCCTCAGTCAACACCCATATGAAGGTTTCTCTTCACATCTGACTACGACATTTCATGTTCTCGTGTCTGCCAGTTGTTACAAACTAGTTGGAAGGTATCGCATTTTTTGTATTTTAAGTAAATAGGAACAAATCCTATTGAAACTCCTCATTTAGAAAAAATTTGAAATGGGCTAAAAATGTATTTCTCACATATGTGAGAGTTTTTCTATGTGATACATATCATTTTGGGGCAGAAAACCTAATAATAAAACCAACATTTCCAAACATCCCTTTTCAAAATGCTCTCTTCCCAACAGGACTATTTTGCAAAAGGCCATTATTTCTCACTTACTCAAAGCATCACTTTTTCTGTGAAGGGACAGGCTGCACTATTTTTTTAATATATAATCTGCTATGTAGAAATGACTGGCAGCCATTTGCATTCACAACTCTTTTAGCTACTGCTAGTGGATAACCAGCAAACCTCTATGTAATACAACACTCTAAAGTTCACCCCTCTCCCTTTCATCACACATTATATTATTTAAAGCCCTGTTTCTATAAAGCTAATCCCAGCGGCGATATCCTAGGGCATGAAATCTGCACTATGTCACGGTACACGGAAGACAAGAGAAAGAATGAGGACACTCCCACCAGGAAGTGCCAACCTCCCGCGTAGTCAACCTTGAAATCATACGCAACACATCGTCCACATCAAATGTGAGGGCTATTTATAAATATCAGTAAAGCTTAACTTCTTTCTTATATTTGCAGACAAAAACAAATGGAAAGTTCTTATGTTGCCTCCTACACCCCAAATGGTTCATCCTGAATCTTGAGTCCTCAGCTCTCCAAACATCTACTTTGGTGCCATCCCAAGGGGCAGCCCCTCCTGGGGATCCCGAGCTCCAAACCTCCTTCTTACTCCATCCTCTCGTTTCCCTGCATCCACATGAAATGCTCTGTACTATTAGGTGTATCATGAGATGACAAAGCAGTCTTGTTAAAACCTTATGGTTTTGTGATTCCATTTAGAAGATTCACTTTGCAGGCTGTACTTTCCTCTCCAAGCATTTAATTCCCACACTCTTCAGTCACTTCTCTCATGGAGCACATATCATGCTTCAGGAAAACTGTCTTTATTTTTATAGCCTGCCCCTGTTAGCTGGCTCTGCAACCTTCCTTATTCTCAGATCTACTCCACAAATATATCTGTGTTAAAAACTCCTAGTATCAGCCGGGCGCGGTGGCTCACGCCTGTAATCCCAGCACTTTGGGAGGCCGAGGAGGGCAGATCATAAGGTCAAGAGATTGAGACCATCCTGGCCAACATGCTAAAACTTCGTCTCTGCTAAAAATACAAAAGTTAGCTGGGTATAGTGGTGTACACCTGTAGTCCCAGCTACTCGGGAGGCCAAGGCAGGAGAATCTCTTGAACCTGGGAGGCAGAGGTTGCCGTGAGCTGAGATCACGCCATTATACTCCAGCCTGGCAACAGAGCGAGACTGTCTCAAAAAAAAAAAAAAAATTCTGAATATGACCAGGCTCAGTGGCTCAAGCCTATAATTCCAGCACTTCACTTTCAGAGGCTAAAGTGGGAGGATTGCTTGAGCCCAGGAGTTTGAGACCAGCCTGGGCAATGTAGGGAGACCTCATCGCTACAAAAAATTTTTTAAATTAGCAAAGTGTGGTGGTGCGCACCTGTGGTCCCAGCTACAGGTGCTGATGTGGGAGCATTGCTTGAGTCCCGTAGGTTGAGGCTGCATTGAGTCATGATCACACCAGTGCACTCCAGCCTGGGTGACAGAGTGAAACTCTGTCTCAAAAAAAAAAACAAAAAAAAAAAAAAAAAAACACCTAATACGTTGGATTTCTTCATACTGCTGTTCAAAGGGAGGCATCTTTGACTTGCAAAAACACCCCTAGAATCAACTTCCTAGGACAAGTCTCTTTTATTCCATGGGGGCCAAATAACCTGGCTTCTGATGCCTGATTCCGCCTTGAACTCACACTGCGTGGATCCTCATTTTGTAAACCATAGCCTAATAACCTGTATGCAAAGCAGGATAATGCCTTTCCCCACTCACTTTGGTATCTTTGTGTTTAAGAAAAAAATATTTTGCGTAGTTAACTTTTAGATTAAGGGTATGTTGATTTTTATTTATGGGACATCTAAGAAACAAAATTTTAAGGAATCCTGTAACCTCTTCTAAAATGCAGGCCAGGCCAGGTGTGATGGCTCATGCCTGTAATTCTAAAGTCTTGGGAGGCTGAGGCTGGAGGATCATTTGAGGCCAGGAGTTCAAGACCAGCCTGGGCAACATAGTGAGACTCCCATTTCTAAAAAAAATTAAGGAAATAGCTGGGCATGGTAGTGCGCACCTATATAATCCTAGCTACTGGGGAGGATCGCTTGAGCCCAGGAGTTTGTGCTTATGGTGAGCTATGATTGCACCACTGCACTCCAGCCTGGGCAACAGAGAAAGACCCTGTCTCAAAGAATAATGATAATAATAACAGTAATAAAATCAAATGCAGGCCACATTAAATCAGTGTGTAAGTGAGCAATTAAGTCATTCAAAGATTAAAGTGTATGCCCTCAGTAACAATTCAGAAGTGGTGAGAGGGTGTAAGCCCTCCCTCGAAGGATATTTCCACTTGCCTACATTTCCCTGCCTAAATGCCCTTTCCTGAATAGCCTCATGGCCCCTTGGCTCACTGCTCCCCAGTCTCTGTTGGCAGGTCACCTCTTTGAAACACCCTCCCTAGCACCTCCTTCTTCTCCTCCTCCATTATTTTGCATCCTTGATTGTGTTTTACTTTTTGTTCATGGTGATTACTCTGTAGCATTGATGGGTGTGTTTTCTGTCTGCCCCACCAGAATGTGAGCTCCACAAAGGCAAGGTCTTTGGGCTTTTGAGTCTGGGCAGCACCCTCCCCCAGATTGCACTGGAAGCAGGCAACCCTTTTCACGCTGGACTCTCTACCGTATACTTTGAGCACATGCTAGATGTCAAAAAGCCCCTCAAAGCAGGGTTCCCTCTTGTTACCTCTTCTCAGGTGAGGACAGCTAATGATGAAACGGGATGATGAGCAGAGGCTAATGCTGCCCAAAAAAAACTGCACCAGCAGTCATAAAAACTTCCTCTCCCATCCTGAGCTGATGTCAGAAATCCCTGGTTTGGCAATATGACAGCAGTGTCAATCCCTTCATCTACTTGAGCAGCTTTCCAGGTAAGCCTAGTCAATTACACTGCAGCCCTAGAACAATTATGCATGCCATGAAGAATACAAGACTGACTTGGCCTTGTGTCTTATGTAACACAAAAGCTGTGCCACACTTTTGCAGTCCTCATAGTCAAGTCCTCAGGGGGCCACACTATCATCTCACAGCATAAAATTATAAGGCCGGGTGTGGTGGTTCACACCTGCAATCTCAGCACTTTGGGAGGCCGAGGCAGGCAGATCATGAGGTCAAGAGATCGAGACCAGCCTGACCAACATGGTGAAACCCTGTCTCTACTAAAAATACAAAAATTTGCTGGTCATGGTGGTGTGCGCCTGTAGTTCCAGCTAGTTGGGAGGCTGAGGCAAGAGAATCGCTTGAACCTGGGAGACAGACGTTGCAGTGAGCTGAGATCGCACCACTTCACTCCAGCCTGGGAACAGAGCGAGACTTCATCTCAAAAAACATAAACATAAAAATAAAAATAAATAAAACCATAAATAAATAAAAGGACCACCAAATGCAGGTGAGGGAAGTGTAGGTAAAGAGCTTGGGCCCATATCCAGGCTCACTCAGACAGTATCCTTCCATATAAAGCTAACATTTATTATTCAATACCTTGTGTTTAATAATTTTACACGTTAACTCAATCTTCATCACAATCCTATTAGGTAAGTACTATTAATATTCCTATTAAGACACCAGAAAATGGAAACTTACGTAACTTGCCAAAAGTCACAAGGGTAGAAAATTGCAAAGCCGGGATTTGAATCCAGAAGCCATATGATCAAGATAAAGACATCATAAATATTGGTTGTCATCTGCAAGTACACCAGTTAAACTACAACTGCACTTCCAACGCTATTGAAAGGGAACACACTCTAAAGAACTCACAGTTGGGAATTGTGAATGGGAAGGAAATGGACTATACTCATGCACAATTCCACGCTTCAGACAGTTTGGGGTGCTTTTCTTACTGCGTGCCAGGTAGATCCAGCCGTGAGCTCTGATTTCTCCAGCAGGACCACATCCTTCATCCCTGCTTTGGCCAGGTGATAAGCCAGACTCACACCAACACAGCCACCTCCAATTATCACTGTTTCTGCTCTGTCTTTCCATTGCGTTTCTGCAGATGAGGGTGGTTTTTCCTCTCTGGAAGAGGTAAAGTTAAATGGGAACTTTATCCGGCTATGGCAGCTCTAGTTCTGGCCTGACTGATGCACTTTCCCTTACCTGTTTCTCTAGTACTTAACACCCACTGACTGAGATTTGCATGATACTGATTTAATAATTTGGAGCATCTAAACTGTGACTTAGGCAACCTGGTTGGGGGAGGGGTATTTGAGCCCCATTCCATATAATGATTCTGGTCCATTGTAGCTACTATAGACAAAGAAATGAACAAGTAGCTTTTTTTTTTTTCTTCAAAGAATCTAGAGAACAGGTCAGGTTCGGTGACTCACACCTGTAATCCCAGCACTTTGGGAGGCCAAGGTGGGAAGATTGCTTGAGCCCAGGAGTTCAAGACAACCGTGGGCAACATAACGAAGCCCCGTCTCTATAAAAAATACAAAAATTATCCAGGCGTGGTGGCACATGCATTTAGTCCCAGCTACTTAGGAGGCCGAGGTAAGAGAACTGCTTAAGCCCAAGAGGTTGAGGCTGCAGTGAGCCATGACTGTGCCACTACACTCAAACGTAGGAGACAGAGTGAGGCCCTGTCTCAAAAAAAAAAAAAAAGATTTAAAACGGTACACCTGTCTAGGGTACTTTACCATGAATCAAGCTTGTAGGACTGGAAGTTGCTCTAGATGAGTCTGAGTGAGAGGTGAGTGAATGTGAAGGCCTAGGACATTACTGTATACTACTGTAGACTTTATCAACACTGTACATTTAGGCTACCCTAAGTTTATTTTTAAATATATTTTTCTTTTTTCAATAATAAATTAACAGCTTACTGTAACTTTGTTATTTTATAAACTTTTAAATTTTTTTGACTTTTGTAATAACACAGTTTAAATGCAAATGCATTCTACAGCTATATAGAAATATTTTATTTCTTTATATCCTTATTCTGGAACCTTTTTTCTATTAAAATATATTTATATATTTTTTAACTTTTCCAACTTTTTTTTTTTTTTTTTCAAGACAGAGTCTCACTGTTTTGCCCAGCCTGGAGTATAGTGGCTCGATCTTGGCTCACTGCAACCTCCATCTATCGGGTTCAAGCAATTCTCCTACCTCAGCCTCCCACGTAGCTGGGATTACAGGTGCGCACCACCACACCCAGCTAAGTTTTGTGCTTTTAGTAGAGGTGAGGTTTCACCATGTTGGCCAGGCTGGTCTTGAACTCCTGACCTCAAGTGATCCTCCAGCCTCGAACTCCCAGGGTGCTGGGATTACAGGTATGAGCCACCATGCCTGGCCAGAGCTGTCATCTCTTATGATAACAATGCCTTCTTCAGGAATACCTCCTGAAGGACCTGTCTGAGCTGATTTTACTGTTAACTTTTTATTTTATAAGCAGAAGGAGTATGCTCTAAAATAATGATTTAAAGTATAGTGTAGTAAATACATAAACCAGTAGCACAGTCATTTATTATCTTGTCAAGCATTATGCACTGTACGTAACTGCATGTGTTATACCTTTATGTGACCGGCAGCACAGCAGGTTTGTTTAACCAGCATCACTACAAACACGTGAGCAATGTGTTGCATATGACATTATGACAGCTATGACCTCACCAGGTGATAGGAATTTTTCAGCTCCATTATAATCTCATGGGACCACTATTGTATATGTGGTCCATCATTGACCAAAACATCATTATAAGGCACATGACTATACATATATGTGTATTATAATATGTATATTCTATGTGTGTACACATTTTAGAGTAAATTGTAGGTATCATACCCAGTTACTTCTAAATATTCTTGTGCTAGTTTTGTAAGAAAAAGGACATTCTCTTACATAACGACAGTACAGTTCTCAAAGTCAAGAAATTTAACATTGATAAACTATTATCTAATCTATAGTCCATATTTAAATTTAATCAATTATCCCAGTAATGTATTTATAGCTAGTTTTTTCCAGTCAGGGATGAAATCCAGGATTCTGTCTCTTTAATCCCCTTTAATTTAGAACAGTTCCTAATACTTCCTTTGTGTTTTATCACCTTGACATTTTCGAAGAGTACTAGCCAGTTATTTTGTAGAACAGTTCTTACTGTGAGTTTGTCTGGTGTTTCCTCATGATGTATTTTTGACAAAAACAACATGAAATTGATGTGGACTCCTTCCCAGTGTATACGATTAGGAAGTGTATGATGTTGGTTTGTCCTGATATTGGTGTTATTTCTATCTGATGACTTGCTTAAGGTGGTATCTGTTGGATTTATCCAGTAAAGCTACCAATTTTTCCTTTGTATAAGTAATAATGTGAAATTTTACTTTGAGACCATGTAAATATCCTGGTCCTTATCAAACTTTTACTGAGTGGCTTTAACATCTATTGATTATTTCCTAACTGCATCATTCCTATTATATTTAGTAGATGGCATCCTACTGTAAGGAAGTGCTTTTCTTTCACCCTTGCTTGTTGGTTGGTTGTTTATATTAATACGAATTTATGGATATTTATTGTTTTCAGTGGTTTCCAATCCATTACTAGTCATCATTTATTTTAATCCCAAATTGTCCTAGATTTGGCCATCAAGTTCTTTAAGTTGACTCCTGTATGCTTTTGACATGGCTCCATAATTCTTAGAACATGTCCTTATTTCCTGGTGCCACAATGTTTTTCAGTACTTTTGTTTCACCAGTTTTTAGATGACTGTTAATGTCTCTTTGTGTGTTGTATAAGAAAAAAATAATGTACATATGACCCAACTACTTTGGACAGAAATCCATTTTTAAATAGACTGGGCATATCTTGTACTTTAGTTGAAACCATTATAGTGGTGACAAAAATAATAATCTTAAAGGTTATTTTTTGTGTGTTCAAAAGAAAGAATTATTTCTTTCAGGATGGTGGTCAGTTGAAACAACAACAACAAAAGAGAACTTAAGATCGGGAAACCTGGGTTTGAGTCCCCAGTCCAATTGAATAGCTATTTTAGAGAAATCTACACAAAGTTTTCTCATTGACAAAATGGAGCTGTGAAGGTTCTGTTTGGCAACATATGATAAAGCATTATCAAATAGATAGTATTTCCTCTGCCCAGCATGCCATAACAGGTTTCAGGCTAGGTATAGTGTTTTTGATTATGTGGATAACTATCTTAAAATCCTTCTGAATGTAGTCGAGGATGGTCATAAAGGTATCTGAAATAAAAGTTAGGAGCCATGCAAAAAAACCAGGTCAGTTATTTCCTATATTAGAAATGACAAGCACAACCTGAATTTGTGCTTGTTCAACTGCTTTCCAAAATAAAACATTTTTTTGATAGTTTGAAATTGGGTATATAAAGAATATGCAATTGAAATAACTCAAATTTTGGGTGTTTTTGTTTTTGTTTGTGAGATGGAATCCCTGTCACCTAGGCTGGAGTGCAGTGGTGCAATCTCGGCTCTCCCTGCAGTCTCCGCCTCCCAGGTTCAAGCGATTCTCCCGCCTCAGGCTCCCAAGCAGCTGGGACTACAGGTGCACACCATGACGCCCAGCTAATTTTTGCATTTTTATTAGAGACAGGGTTTCACCATGTTGATCAGGATGGTCTCGAACTCCTGGCCTCAAGCAGTCTGCCCACCTCAGCTTCCCAAAGTGCTGAGATTATAGGCATGAGCCACCACACCCAGCCAAAATATGAATTTTTTGGATAGTCTTGAAATTTGTATCTTATTTATCTAGTCAGTTTTAAACAGATTAACTTGTTTTTTAAATTTCCATTTTATTTTGCATTGGATTAAAAACAAGATTATTATAAATATTTTTGGGATGCTTTACAATTTTCAAAGCACTTTCACATGCATTCTCTTATTTAATATTCACAGCAATCCTGTGAGTTACATAGAGCAAAATTAGTATCCTCATTTTATACAGGAGGAAACTGAACCTCAGAAGTGTAAGGTCACATTCTGTGTAACGGATGGTGCAGGAACTGTGAGTTGGTGGCTATTGTCTCCAGCACTGGAGACAAACCTAGCACATCATAACACCCAGTAAATATGTGTTGGATGGATAGATGGAACTCAAAAGCAGGTCTTCTGATTCCAGAATTTCAGGTCATAGGACATAAAATAAAATTCGAATCAACTCATAATGTTGAGTGATGCTGGTAAACAAGCCTTACCTGGCAGCCAGGAATAATCTGCAAACGTAAGAAGTCAAAAGATGCTCAGCATTGCCCATGTTTAAATACAGACCAATCAAAACAAGGACATGCCATTTTTACCTATCAGATTTAGCAAAGATAACAAAATGGGCTATTCTGGGAACTAGGGAAGATGTGGGAAACAGACACACACTGGTGTGCCGCATGCAAACTCTTGCCACCCATTTGGAGTATGTGTTGCTGTCTTTCGGTCTTTCAGATGCATGTAACCCTTTCCCTAACAAGTTCACCTTTAAAAACTGGTGCTACCGACTCCCATATGTACTCAAAGATAGATGCATAAGAATTTTCACATGCACGTTATTTGCAGTAATAAACAACCAAAAACCATTTAAATGTTAACGAACAGACTGTTTAACGATAGTGTAGAATATTGACAGGATGGAAAACTATGCAGCCATTAAAAGGAACAAGGCAAGTCGGTGTGTGCTGATATGGAAAATCTCCAAGATGTATTGATAACCGTAAAAAGCAAGATATCAAAAAGCCAAAGAAAAACCTATACTGACCTGTGTTTGCCTACGCATAGACTGTCCCTGGTTAGATTCAGAACACACTGTTAACAATTGTTGACTGGCCAAGGGGATTGGGGCAGGAGAGACTTTACGCGGGGAACCTTTGGATACTGTTTCACTTTATAATTAATAGATAATTCGAGAAGATATATCAAGGCCCATTTCTTGAAGGCCGGAGCGCTTCTAACCTCAGAGCCTGCCTCAGCCTCTGGCTCCCACCCCCGCAGCCGCCCCTTCGCGTCTGAGCAGGCCGGGGCCCCACTCACCCTTCCCGGCCGCAGACAGAGTGCGGGTGCCCGGGAGAGCCCCGCCGCGGGCAACTCCGCAGCAGGAGGCCCCGCAGCCGCTGCGCGCCGGGACGGAGCATGACTAGGCAGAGGCCGAGGCCGAAGGCGCGGGCGCCTGCTCCAAGGCCAGCGGGCAGCCTGAGGCCGCGGGGCTGGCGGGGCGGCGGTCGGACCCTCCCCCGGGCGGGGGGCGGACTCTTGGACGGCCGCGCGCCCGGGAACCCGGCGCCCACAGAGCCGCGGCACCATGGCACCTGCCGGACGCCCGGGGGCCAAGAAGGTGAGTTTCCTCCCCTTGGTCCTCGCGGAGCCCCTGGCCGCTGTGAGCGACTCCGTTCACATTCCGCGTGGATCCCTAGCCAAGCCCTGGGGCCTCGGCAAAACACTTGGACTGGACGGCCCTGAGCCTCGATTTTCCCCAGTCACAGGTTGATTAGCGTTTAGGGAGGCCTTCCTCGGTGCCCGGCGCTGCACAGAGTGCTGTGCTCAAGTTATCTCCTCATCCTGACAATTATCCCCATTTCACAGGTGAGGAAACTGAGGTTCAGCGAGTCAGGCGACTAGCTCAGGGTCACGAGTCCAGCCCCGCGGGAAGCGAGGATCGGAAGTCTAGCTTTCGGACTCAGGTCGCGCGCACGTTTTCTTCCCTCAACCTACCCGCACCCGCAGCTCTTTGGGCTAATCCGCCCCAGAACCCTTCGGACTGTCCCTCGCGTTTTGGAAAAGTCAGCAGCCTGGCCTTGCGAGTTGCCGGCTGGCCTGAAACCAGTCCTGGATAAGGACGCCCCCAGAGCTGCGGCGCAGGATGGAGGGTGGGTGGGATTCGCTAGGACCCCTCCACCTCCTCCCACCCGGTGGTCCCCAGCTCCTGGCCCCTTTCCCGGTCTGGTCACCAGATGTTGGTTTTATGCCCAGCCATTTCTTTGTTGGGTATGTGTGGGGGTGGGAGGAAGGGGTGACTAAGCAAAATTAGGAAGGGCATGAGCTTGGACGAAAAACATCCCCAGGACCATTCAAAGAGACCCCCCACCCGCGCCAGTCCTGTCATTCACAGTGGGAGGAGGGGAGGAGGAGCAGTATATGCGTGGAAATGTGTATCACCGAGCTATTTATACTAAAAAGTTAGGAACGACCAAGATACTCTGCAATAGGGGATTCTAAATAAATTAAGGGTCATCTACTTAAGGTATTAGGCAATTAAATAATTTAGTATGAGAACCAGCAAAGTGCTTTGGCAATGTTAAGTTGCAAAAGAAAATATATCACAAACTGATCCCAACCGTATACAAATATTTATATACACACTGTAAGGAAGGACACATTAATGGTAATAGTTACACAAGATGTGGAATATTGGTTTAAAAAGCATGTTTTAGGATATTTTTTCAGATTATAAAAGTAAAATGTGAGCATTGAAAGAAATAGTTAATAAAAAATAATCAAAGAACATTGCGCTGACTTTTTTCTCTCAACTTTCTCTAATGCTATGTTCATCTTTACAGTTCATTTTTTTTTTAACGTTTTTAAAATGCCCTATTTTTGTTCAATTTCTTTGGGGCCTCTGCTGTTACAGCACCAAGATTATCACACACTAATCCATGTGAATGTGTACCTGGGAGTTAAGAGGTTAATGGGAAGGAACTAATCTCACCTCTCTCCTCAGCTAGCAGGTACATTTTAAGAATTCATTTAATTGCTACAGACAAGACCTCCAATTAGGTCTTTAATCCAAAAGAGCAGCTCTGCTGGCAATTCTAGGAAGAGGGGGAGATATTTTAGATAGATTGGGTTTTTCTGGTCACCTCCTACTACACAGTGAAGTTGATCCCCACTGAGTATGAATAGAGATGTCTTGAAGCCAGATCTTAAGCCCAGAGGTCTTAGGTAGTGATATCTGCAAAAAGGGGGCATAAATGCACCCTAGAACTCGCTGTCAGATGCAAGGCAGGTTCACCGCCAAACTGATGGGGAGGATGGGATGAAAATATAAATCTACTGCAAAATTAATTTACAGTATTCCTTATTTTACATATTCCTGTCTTTATAATTATAGAGCTGACTTTAGATAATGCTAGTATAATGGTGAGGAACAACACACACTGGGGCCTATTGAAGGGTGGAGGGTGGCAGGAGGGAGAGGATCAGGAAAAATAACTAATGGATACTAGGCTTAATACCTGGGTGAGGAAATAACCCATATAGCAAACCTCCAATGATGCATGTTTACCTATGTCACAAACCTGCACATCCTGCACATGTACCCCTGAATTTAAAAGTTAAAAACAAAATCTAAAGAAGGGATCATACTGGTACAGTAATTAATTGAGGTAGTTAGAATAGCAGTGAAGGAAGGGCTAAAAGATGCTCTGAATTCAAATCTTGATAACTTAGTTATTTTGCTAATGGATATGTAGAAAAATGGCCAATTGACCAGGCACAGTGGCTCACACCTGTAATCCCAGCACTTTGGGAGGCTGAGGCAGGCGGATCATCTAAGGTCAGGAGTTTGAGACCAGCCTGGACAACATGGTGAAACCTCGTCTCTACTAAAAAATACAAAATTAGCTGGGCATGGTGGCAGGTGTCTATAATCCCAGCTACTTGCAAGGCTGAGGCAGGAGAATTGCTTGAACCCTGGAGGTGGAAGTTGCAGTGAGCTGAGATCGTGCCACTGCACTCCAGCCTGGGCAACAAGAGTGAAACTCTGTCAAAAAAAAAAAAAGAAAGAAAGAAAGAGAGAGAGAGAGAGAGAAAGAAAGGAAGAAAGAAAGAAAGAAAGAAAGAAAGAAAGAAAGAAAGAAAGAAAGAAAGAAAGAAAGAAAGAAAGAAAGAAAGAAAAGAGAAGAGAAGAAAAATGGCAAATTTAAAATGGTGGACAAATATCCAGATAACAAATGAAAACGTATTCCTCCCTTTACTTGGTAAAGTCAAAAGATACAAGATACAGTCAAAATATATACTACAATTTTCTTAAAACCTACCAGATTTTCTGCTAAAGTGTAACATTTTTTCTTCTTGAGGACAAAAATTCTAGCATATGCAACACATCTGACATTTTCAAAACAGTCCTATTTGTTTGCTAATTCTTGGCATAGTTTCTTAATTGTCTACTCATTTTAGTTGTTATATGAGGTGGTAGGGATATAGACCATTAAGATATGTCACCTGCCTCCAAGCCTCTTACAGTCAAACTGAGGTGACAGGTAAGTAACCAGATACTGCTGTACAGGGGGATGCATGAACGAAGTGAAGCAAGACACAAAAGGGGTGTAATCACAGGTGAGACTGGGTCCGTGAGCCTGTACTCTGGTAGCAATGGAAGACCGTTCAGAGTAGGGCTGGAGAGTTCTCTACTCTGGAGACCATTTCAATAATCAAATGCAGTGAGGATGCTGGGGCATTTGAGAAATGTGTAATACACTTGGCATAACCCTGTGATAGGTTGGATGTGGGAGGTGAGAAGCTAACCTACAACATCTGAATTCTGTGCCAGTGTTTTCCCTCGACAATTGTTTGATTAAATTTGATTCTTTTTTTTGTTTTTTGAGACAGAATCTCACTCTGTTGCCCAGGCTGGAGAGTAGTTGTGCAATCTCAACTCACTGCAACCTCCGCCTCCCAGGTTCAAGCGATTCTCCTGCCTCAGCCTCCCAAGTAGCTGGGACTACAGGCGCCGCCACCATGCCCAGTTAATTTTTGTATTTTTAGTAGAGACAGGGTTTCACCATGTTGGCCAGGCTGCTCTCAAACAGCTGACCTCAAGTGATCCACCTGCCTCGGCCTCCCAAAGTGCTGGGATTACAGGCATGAGCCACCGTGCCTGGCCTAAATATGATTCTTAACATGGTGAACCTAATGAAGTGTATGAGATTTTCAGGAAAAGAGTTTGTACACAATAACTGTACCTCTGACTTTCTCTTCTGTATTCCCGTGTAGCATTTATTTGTCACATTCTGCTGTGATTATTTGTTGATCTATTGGTTTTCTCCAAAGTAGCCAGACTTTGAGCTTGTGGAGGGCAGAGACCTTGTCTTATTCTGATGTTTATCCCACTTGCCCACAACTATACCTGACATGTGGAAGGTCTCAATAAACGTCCAAAATTTAAGGCCTTTTTTATATTTCAAAAGTACAAATTGAAAAGAGTGAATTGCATTTTATGCAGGGAGGAGAAAGAAAGAGATGAGAATCACAGTAAATATTAACATTTCTTCTGCATTCAGCTAAAATTCAGCTTTAGATATAAAATATGGAAAAATAACCAGAGTTGAGAGCTCTCTCTGCCAAAACAGTGTTTATGTTTAACATAGTTCACACAGCTGGGCTCCATTTACCTGCCCTCCAAGTGCACAGTAAAAAGAAGATGCTGTAGGTATGGTGACCTAGCATTAACTAGAGTTATTTACCTCTAGTTAAACCCCTTCTGATGGACCTTCTTGCACCGCAGAGGAAAGAAAACTAACCACATTGCCAGACTCCTTTGCAGCTAGGATCTGGATAAGAACTAGGATACCCAATCAGATGCACCAGCATGAGTCCGGGAAGGTGGAAGCATAGCAAGCATGGCCATAGTGCAGCATTCCAGTGTCATGTGAGGGGCAGCTGAGGTCACTGGAGCAGCCTCCTTCTCCCTATATGACAGCTGTGTCCTGAAGCCAGCAGTTTACTAGTGGCTTCTCTTAGTTGTGACAGAGGGTGCAGCCCCAGGCAGCCAATTCAGTCATATTTTTCTAGGGTCATTCCTGGAAGCCCAGTGTAAATTTTTTATGTACCCATTTCTCAATATTAAACTCCTTTCTGCTTAGCCGGAGTGGTTTGTACCTCTGCAGCTAAACTGGACATGGGGATAAAGCCAGAATAAGCCCCCTGCCTAGTCATGCCATTCAATGGCGATTGAGAAATCATTCAAGCCATATTTGACCTCCCATGTTTGGTTCCATACTGTTAACAGGACTGTCCTGGGAGGCTCTGTGGGAGGATCCTCACATGTCTGCTTTAATTTCTGGTTGCTTTTATTAGATCCAGGATTGACCTAGGTAAGAACAAAGACTCCTGTAACCAAGATCAAATTAGCTTCCCTCTTATTCTTTATTGCCTTTATAGCCTTCCAACCTCCTGGAAAAAGATTGAAGACAGTAATATATCAAGTAATACGGCCAAAATGTGT